CCACTGTAGCGTCCAGCCCATATTCACTCAGGTCATTCTCATAGAAGATCAGGTTGTTTTTCTGCAGCTGCTCAAAGGCCAGTCGTCCCAGAGACCGAACCATCTTCTTGTTTTCAGCAGACCAGGCAGAACCTGTCTCCAGTTTGTCATCATATTTGATGTTCTTCTGTTTAAGCTGCACCACCAGGAAGTGGATGTAGAGGTTTGTGAGAGTTTGGGGCAACTCTGGTTCCTCTGTTTGTTCCAGAAGCTTCTGTAGAACCGTGGAGAGGATCCAACAGAAGACTGGGATTCTGCACATGATGTGGAGGCTGCGGATGCTCTTGATGTGGGAGATGATGGCTGTGGCCTGGTCTCTGCACCTCTTCCTGAAGTACTGCTCCTTCTGCGGGTTCAGTGAATCCCTTGCACCTCTGTCACCATGGAGACGTACTCAGCAGGGATCTGATTGGCTGCTGCGGGTCGTGTGGTTATCCAGAGGTGAGCGGAGGGAAGCAGGCTTCCTCTGATGAGGTTCACCAGCAGCACGTGCACTGAGGTGATCTCTGTGGTGTGGTCAGGTGCGGTGTTTCGACTGAAGTCCAGAGGAGGTCTGCACTCGTCCAGACCATCAAAGATGAAGAGCACCTGGAGATGTTGGAACCTGCAGAGACCTTTGGATGGACTGAAGAAGTGGTGCAGCAGTCCCACCAGGCTGAACTGTCTATCTCTGAGCACATTGAGCTCTCTGAAAGTGAACGGGAACAGCAGCTGGAAGTCCTGGTGGGCCCGGCCTTCAGCCCAGTCCAGACTGAACTTCTGAGTCAACACTGTCTTCCCCACACCGGCCACACCCTTCATCAGCACCACTCTGTTTGACATCTTTTGGACTTTAAACATGTCTTCACATGTGATGATGGTCTCTAGAGAAGCAGGTCTCCTGGACATGGTCTCCATGTGTCTGACCTCACCTTCCTGGTTGACCTCTGAGGCCCCGCCCTCTGTGATGTAAAGCTCTGTGTAGATCTGGGTCAGGGGGACGGAGTTTCCTGCTTTAGCCCCACCCTCAAACACACGGCTGAACCTCTGCTGCAGATCAAACTTCAGTTTATTGCGATGTTCAAAACCACATTGTCCTGAAACAGAAGTGAAAATAAGAAATGACATAATGACATAAAGAGACATAACAGATCTCAAACTGAAGCTCCTCACTGTTGTGTAGACGTTCAGCCAATTTGTCCTGGTCCAAAGTCTTGAGGAAGCTCAGGGCGATCTTCAGAAAGGCTTCTTTAATTCCTGCCTTGTCGTCCTCATCAAATGCCAAGGACTCTGGTTCCTCTGCCATTAGAACTTCCTGTAACTTTCTCAGCTCATTTTGAACAAAACTTAAAATGTGCTCCTCCAGTTTCTGTAACATAAGAGAGTAAGAATCAGGCTTATAGTGCAGCTTGGTTACCCTTTTGTCTCAGCATGCTTGGCTTGTATATGTCTTCTCAATCATATCCTGGGCCTCTTGTGGTTCTGGATTTTCTTCTCTGTGTCTTTGGATCTGTGTCAGGCTGTTCTTAGTCTTGAGATGTTTGTTACTGTGTCTGTTGGCTGTTAAATTCTCATGTTTTACAGATGCAGAACTCTCACCTTAAAAATAGATCCATTGTCAAGGTCTGGACGTGTCTCTACCAAACTGCACAGAAGAAATGTACAGTTTTATCTCTCAGTTAAATTAAACAAGCTTTCCCATTTAAATGTCATTGTCTTTGTACCTCTCATATGATTGTTCTTCTAAAATGGTTTCCATAGTAGAATCATCACTTCTGACTGTCACAGAGGAGAGACGTGTGTCCCTGGAGATAAACATTTGGTCTGATTTAATGATAAAGCTGCATGTATTCTTCACTTACAATGTGCTCCTTACACTTCCCACAGTCACAAACAGAGGGTGACAAAACCAAAACTTCAGTTGGAGATAGAATTATTTTCTCTTTAGTTTTTTTTTTTTTTTTTTTCAGTATGAGGTGTGGAAAGACCTGTTTGATGGACAACTGCTGTGAAATGCTCTGGTTCAGTGGAAGAATTGTGGAAGTCTGGGCCACAGTGCCACAGGAGTTTATATTTTATTACAGCTGCTTGGAAAACAACATGTTATTATGTTATCTGTCCTTACTGGTCATTTAAAATCAATATCAAATGCCCTACAGGAGCACACAGATGCTGAGAGAACGTTGCTCCAGATTCACAAAGTGATCTTAAGTGACCAAATGTTTTCTTAAATGACAGGTGTGTCTGATTCAACATCCAAATATGAACACCACAACACTTGTTTACAGTTTATTTCCATAATCATTCATATGTTTTGGCATTAGGTGTGTTTAAGATGAGCAAGGCTGTGCAGGTGAACTGCCCCACACTATGCAGGTATCACTAATATGGTGAGATCAAGGTGACTGCAGCCCAAATGTATGATGGGAAATGCAGTGTTGTCTAACAGGTGCACTCACAGCTGACTGACAGCTGACTGGACCCGAGACGCCCTGGCTGTCAGGAGCGTCCCTCCCTCCTCCTTCTTCATCTCACATCTGTCGACTTTTACATAAAGACAACACAGATGCTTCAAATGAGAGAATAATCTTGATGAGCTAAAAGTCATTTTCAGCACAGATCAGACATAAGTGTGTGAACTTTATTTTATTATGAACTCTTTGTTCTTTGTTCTGGTGATGTGGGGTCAGTCTGTGGTGTGAATACATTCACAAAGTTTGATGTAGTTTTATTCAGTGCAACACAAATGAATGTGAGATCTGTCCTGTCAGTGGGACTCTGTGCGATGTGAGCTACTTGACTGTTCTCAGACTTGAGAGAATTTATACAGTTATATATCAAGTCTGTGGTCCAAGCTTTTCCTCCTCCCCTCAGCTGCAGCCGCCTGCTCTCACCAACAATCCAGGTGAGGATTTCAGCATCTTAAACACATCTAATATGATGTAAAAAATTACTCAAATAAACATTTCATTGTATTTATCGTGCTTTCTGTAAGTAGCAGACCTGCAGAGAAAAGCGAGGGAGAGGGGCTGGTGTGGGGAGGGCATGTGAGTGAGCTCTGGTCATAGGGGTGATGGGGGTGGTCAGTGTTGAGTGCAGCGCAGTATCCAGGCACAGGGCTGTAAAATCTGTTAGACCAAATAGCACGAGCTCTATAAAACCCTTCCATAAATGTTATTTGATTACATAGTAATCTTTTTATCGGAAATGATTTAAGAAAATACATATCTTACAATCATGAAGGAATTTGAAATGTTGGTTGCATTATTAGAGTAATAATATTCTAAAAGTGCTCCTGACTGTTTAATCTTCAGTTAATGTTTTGTGAGTGCCAAAAATGTTCATAAGACCTAAGTACACATTTGTTCATCAGAGCGCTTCATGAAGGAGGTCCAATATTTTTCAGTATTTTCTTTCAGGACCTTCACACAAAATTTAGAACTCATCAAGTTCAAATTTTTGATATATCTGTACTTTTCTGATATTCCCAGGGGTCTCCTATCCAAGTACTAACCAGCCCTGTCCTGCTTAGCTTCAGAGAGACAAGATCAGGCTTTGACAAGGTTTGGCCTCATGTGTACTGCAGCAGTGTCATGGATTTGCTTTTCGGCCTCGACCATTTGCTGAATGTCTCTACCCTCTCTCTCCCCATTTCTCACTATAGCTGTTCTGTCCAATAAAGCTTCAAAGCACTTTAACAAATGCGTAACATATAGATGTATAATTAAATGGTTAAAATTATTTCTGTGGTCTGTTCTCACCTCTGATTGGTTGAGAAAGGTTCTTTATTGAACAAAATGCGCTCCCTCATGGAGGCGTCACTTTTGATTGACATTCCTCTGGGGAGTGAGTCAGGTCTGGATTCTGTCTCCGAGCTTAAAACAAACAAAAATGAAAGATTAGTATCCTCCAGTTAAACTCATTATTTGGTGAAACTTCAAACGTTTTTAAATTTTTTAAAAAACACTTTTTACAGCCTTTTCTGCTCATATTTGCAGACAACAGTTATCCAAGGTTAAGAAAGATTAGAGTCTTCTGTCCATTCTCACCTCTGATTGGTTGAGAAAGGTTCTTTATTGAACAAAATGTGCTCCCTCATGGAGGCGTCACTTTTGATTGACATTCCTCTGGGGAGTGAGTCAGGTCTGGATTCTGTCTCCGACCTTAAAACAAACAAAAATCAAAAATTAGAATCCCCCTGGTTAAACTCATTATTTGGTTTGGTTTGGTTTGGTTTGGTAGGCGAGACAGAAGACGACCAGTGTACCTGAGTGACTACGATGAGTCTGGTTAAAAAAAATAAAAAGTAATAGATCTAAATGAATCTGGTCTGTTTTGTTTTGATATCGCTGTAGAATGTAATGAACAGTTTGCACTAAGATTCATTATTTGTGATTCTGTTTTGGTCACTTTTTACTTTTTTTTATATTTTATTTTTCTTTAGTTTTGAAAAAAGGAAAACAACATATAACACAAAACATTGAACATGACAAAGAGAGTAGTCAAATTTGACTGACTGCATCCAGTGTTTTTATATCACATTTAAATTTAAATAATATTACGGCACTTCCTTTCCAGCATATGAGTCCCATTTACTCCAAAGTTTGTCAAAGAGGTCCATTTTTCAAATTAATGTCCAAATGTTATTTTTTCCATTTTCTTAATTTCATTTATAATTTCCGACCAGTCTTTGATTGATGGTGCAGTTTTGTGTCATCCCATTTTTTTGTAATAGCTTTTTTTTTCCCGCCACCAGAAGTATGTTCCAGAGATATCCATTGATTGTATCCATGGCAGGGGTTTTGAGGCCCAAGTACATAGTTTTGAAATCAAGTGGAATGGTCACATTAAAGATAATTCGCAATGCTTTGTTGATTTCTGTCCAATACTTATGGATCACATGACAGTCCCAAAACACATGGTAATGATGGGCGTCTCGGCAGCCACAGTTTCTCCAACACCCTGTATTTCCCTGTGAATAGTGGGCACTTTGGTTTGGTGTTATAAAAAACGTGATATATTTTTCCACCAAATTCTTTCCAGATATGTGATTTTGTGGTCCTCCATTGAGATATATATATATTTTCCCATTCTTCATCTGTCACTGTAAAATTACCTTCCCTTTCCCATTTATTTTTTATATATTTAGTAGAGTGGTTAGCCAGATTATTAATGCATTTTATACAGTTTAGTTATCATTCCCTTTGAAAGCTCTGATTCATATGCCTTAATAAACATTTCGATCAGAGGATTGTAGTGATCAGCATTGCTTTGCTTAATGTTTTGGTTGTAATAACTTCTTATCTGTAAGTACCTGTAGAAGTCCTTGTTTTCTAAGCCAAAGGATTCCTTTAACGTGTCAAAACTTTTAACTTGATTTCCTTCTATAATCTGGTAAAACATTTTTAAACCTTTTATTATCCAGACCTTAAATCTTATGTCTGTGCCATTTGGTACAAAGCTTTGGTCATAAGCCAGCCATCTTAAGATTTTCACATCTTTATTTAGTTTATATTTTTTGATTAGTTCTTTCCAAGTAGTAAGTACTGATTTTACCCAGGGATTCTCCACCTCCCTCATGAGACCCAACCGTCCATCATCTGCCAATAAGGCCTGTATAGGGACTCCTGACTCCACATTACATTCGATATTTTTCCATTGAGCTTCATATTCTGGATCACACCAGTACAGCAAGGCTCTGATTTGAGCTGAGGTAAAATAATTCTTAAGGCAGGGAAGACCCCATCCACCATTTTCTTTTGACAATTGTAGAGTTTTTAACAGAATTCGGGGTTTCTTGCCTTGCCATACAAATCTTGAGATTGTTTTGTCCCATTCATCAAATAAACGGTTGGGGATGGAGATCGGAAGGGTCTGAAACAAGTAGAGGAACCTGGGCAGAACATTCATTTTTATGGTTTCAATCCTTTGACTTAGACTCAAATATGGAATAAGATTCCATTTTTCAAGGTCTTTCTTTATGCCGAAAAAGAGGGGTATAGTTTTTCTCTAAAATTGATGACAGATCTTTATGAAGCACCACACCCAAGTATTTAAGAGATTCTGTTCGCCATTTGAATGGGTATATTTTTCTAAAGGGCAGTGGAGGGTGCCAATATGAAAGGATTTCAGTTTTCTGTATATTTAGTTTGTATCCGGACATTGGACCAATATTGTGAAGAAAATGCATCACATTAGGAATTGAAGTTTCTGGTTTGGTCAAAAATAACAGAACATCATCAGCATAGCAGGCAATTTTGTGTTCCGTCCCATCAATTATAACACCGCTAATTGTTTTTGACTGTCTAATATGCTGGGCCAATGGTTCCAAGTACAAAGCAAATAAAAGCGGAGACCAGGCACAACCCTGTCTGACTCCTCTTTCCAAGGTCAGTGGGTCCGTCATGTGACCGTTAACTTTAATTCTTGAAGTTGGACCATCGTAGAGAGCCTCAATATTTCTTATTATTAGGTCATCAATTTGAAATTTATTCAGCACTTGAAATAAATATGGCCAGCTAACAGAGTCAAAAGCTTTCTCTGCGTCCAGACTAAGTATCACTGCTTTGCTTTGCTTTGCTTTTTGTATATGATTCATTATATGTAAAGTTCGTCTTATGTTATCTTGGGTCTGTCGCTTGTTAATAAATCCAGTTTGATCATTGTGAATTAAATTTGGGAGTATCTGTTCCATTCTTTTAGACATAATTGAGGTATATATACGGTAGTCCACGTTCAGAATCGAGATTGGTCTATACGAAGCACAGTCCAGACGATCTTTCCCTTCTTTGGGTATTAAAGATATGATAGCCTCTTTCCAGCTTGGAGGAATTTGAGCTTTTTTGAGTGCCCAGTTGAATGTAGTCAAGAGCAGGGGAGTAAGTGTTTCCTTTAGGGCCTTATACCACTCTGAGGTGAACCCATCGCTCCCCGGAGATTTGTTGTTCTTTAATCTCTTGATTGCGCTTTGTATTTCCAGAACAGTTATTTCAGCTCCTAGTTTTTTATTTTGCTCTTCAGTCATGACAGGTAGATTGAGAGTATCCAAAAAAGATTTTATTTCGTCTTCTTTACATTCTGATATTTTAGAAAAGAGTTTTTTGTAAAAAGATTCAAATGATGACTGTATTTGATCCTGTTGAGTTAAAATTACATCAGTTCATTTATCTCTAATCTTAAAAATTGCTCTTTCAGCTTCTTGTTTCCTAAGTTTCCAAGCTAATAATTTAGAAAATTTTGATCCACTTTCGTAGTATTTCTGCCTGGTAAAAAGCATTTTTTAAAATTATTTCCTGTGAAGCCAGATCATTGATTTCATCTCTTATCTTTTTGATTTCCTGTAATGTTCTGGGGTTTTTATTCTTGATATGTTCTGCCTCTACCAATTTTAGTTTGTCCTGTAAATCATTTAGCTTTTTCTCCCTTTGTTTCTTTTTGGCAGAGGCAACTGCGATAATTTTGCCTCTCAGTACCGCCTTAGCTGCATCCCAGAAAATAGGCGGAGAGGTTTCACCATTATTATTTTCCTCTACATATGCCTGAATGTCGTTGGACATTTTTTTTCTTAAACAGAGGGTCATTAAGTAGACTGGTATTAAATCTCCAGAGTGTGTTTTTTCGTTTTTCTTCCAGGTCTACAGTGATGTAAATTGGGGCATGATCACTTAAATCTATTGTGCCTATGTCCGCATTGGTAATTTTTGATCTATCTTTATTGAAAAATAAAAAAAGTAGTCTATTCTTGTATAGATCATATGTGGATTAGAAAAATGAGTGTATTGGCGAGTATTGGGGTTCATTTCCCTCCAAATATCAGTTAGCCCTATATTCTTTATTAGTTTGCGAAATTTGTTACTTATAGTTTTTCCAGTGTTTTTTGAGTGAGATATGTCTAAAGTGGGCTGAATGTGGAGGTTAAAGTCACCACCGCATATAAGGGTTCCCTCAGAGTGGTTTGCAATCAGGTCCATGATATTAGTATAGAAAGTGATATCACTTCCTGGTGGAGCGTAGACATTTAGTAGAGTAAACACTTTTCCGTTAATAGCTCCTTTAACCAAAGAGAATCTACCATCCTTATCTTTGTGTACAGAACTCTGTTCAAAGATTACTCGACTTGAGATCAGTATAGCCACTCCTCTTTTATGTTTACCTCTGTATGAGGAATAGTACAGTCTAGTATAACCAAATTTAGTTAGTTTTTGATGTTCTAGGTCATTTAGATGGGTTTCTTGTAAGTATATAATATCTATTTTTTCTTTTCTCATCCTTGTTAGTATCTTTGATCTTTTAATTGGGCTCAATATGCCATTAACATTATAAGATGCTACTCGTAATTTGTCGGATGCCATTGAGTTAACTGATTAGAATTCACCTGTTTTAATTTGTAAATGATATCATACTCTCTAGTCGAACACAATACACTTATGCACGAACTGCCAAAATCCATAACAAACAGAAAAACACAGAAATACGTAAAAAGAGGAAGTAGAAAAAAAAAAGGGTTCATACCTAAAACGTGCAGTGAACCCACAGCCCAGCCAATGATATGGATGAAAAGTGGAGGGAAAACCTTTCCCATTGAAGGGCCCTCCAGGGCGACTCCCCCTGCCATCCTCCATGCCCAGTCCAACCAAGTAAGGACTGGGTACATCACCTCCCTAGACCGCTATGCTCTACTGCCATGGTCTGACTGTCTTAATTCCCGCACACAAGATCAATTACATCCAGTACTTATGTGTATGCAACTCAGAGCCTTAAACTGCCAACATGAGGGGCCTGAACAAGTTTAAATGACAACTAAGAAAATCAAATAATACAAATATGCCTGTGTTATTACCACCCTTGTTCAGTGTAATAAACTAGACATTAACCAGGCAATATATACTCAACCAGCCTGTCCATAAATGAAATTGCTTAAAACAAATGGACTACGCAGCTATCATCTTTGAATTATAATAATCATAATCTCTGAAATCTCTCGTCCAGAGCAGAAGAGTCAAATGGTTTAAATAAATAGGTTACGTAGTAATAATGTTAGTGTCATCAAAATAACAGAAATGAGTCCACACACCCCACGTTGGAACATCCAGGCGCTGTCCTTCACTTCTCCTTGTTCCGTAT